CCCCTCTCCCATGTCCCCCCGGAACTGTCAGTCCCGTTGTTTTCTCCTCCAGATTATTCATCCAGCCTGCTGAAAAAGTAGGCTTATATATGAGTGTATATAGCATGTGTTTTCTGATGGTCTTAGGCAACCCTTGTGAAAGGGTTGTTCAGCCCCCAAGGGGGTTGCAACCCATAGGTTGAGAATCACTGCTTTAAATCCTTACGGGAGTAGACAGCCTCATCTTTCTCCTGCAGGACCACTAGTGGGTTGGAACCACTGAACTTGTGATTTAAAAGTCCAATGTATAATGCCCTATACCATTGTGGTGCCTTACCTCTAACTTTTAATTATTCCCCCCCCCTTTTTTTTTTTTTTTCAAATTGTTTATATTTCATGCTGTTGAGCCAAATCTCTTTGAGCGCTGGGATTCCCTTTAGCGGCGAAACCAGAGCCAGCTGTTGAGCAGCCAGAAGGCGGCTGTGATGGAGTACATGACCATCTCTCGCTTGGCCCGCTCTTTGTTCTCCTCCTCGAGCAGCTGCAGGCGTCTATTCAACTTGATTATCTGTCGTCTTAAGGAAGCTGCATCTACAACCGTCATGTCATCTGAAGCAACTTCAAGGGATGTGTTCCATATTTGAAATGCCGTACATGGAATCGTTCCTGATCAGCTGTCCATTCTGGCGGACAGCATTCTCACTCATAGAGTGCTCTCTCTTTAGCCTGCCAACTGTCTGCATTTCTTCATTTTGAGGCGTTGGAGCAGGTCTTTCTAGATCTAGAAAGTCTAGGGGTCTTTCACTTAGCGTAAGAACACGCGGTGGTGTTTTCAGTGCCAGAGGCTTAAAGGGAGTTGACTGAATAAGGTCAAGATCTGCTGGTCTTGAAAATGGAATGTCTTCATTATTTCCTGCCACAACAATCCTCTCTGGAACCTGCATTATCACACTAGCATTTGGAGAGCCGTCTTGAAATCCTTGTTCTAGGTCAGAATTCGGTGGTGCTACTTTTAACTTCTCTGGGACCCTCATTCGCTGACTGATACCTTCGGTGTATTCCATTTCATACTGGATGCGACTAATTTCCGCCATTTCAGCAGCAGTGGGAGAAGGCAATGCTGCCCCACTCACCCTGCCTAGTGGTGTGTCACTGCTGTTCTTTTACTCATGTTAACACAGTAAAGACCCACCTACAACAGCTATGACAACACTGCTACCCTGCAGCTCAGTTTACTTTACACAAGGCTTCCCCTACAGATCTGAACTGTTTTTGGAGGTGTACATAACAACACGGACACTGCTTTTCCAGAAATGGGTAACTACTACTGCTTGCTACTTGGCACTATCTGCTTCTGTGCTTCATAGTAAATCCTTTAACTTGCTTCAAAGGGCATGTGTTGGATTTAGCAGGCCGAGAGAGCTAATTATTCTCCATTTTAATGTGATTCCTCACCACTTCTATTTCTTAATGTGCCTAATGTACCTGAGTGGAAAACCTCTCCAAAGCATTACCCACCCACCCCCACCCCCCGCCCAATCTTAAGCCAAAGTTGGGGAGAACTTGTTGTTTGGGTGATTGGGTTGGAAAAACTATTTAAAGTTCCAAACACTCCATTTACAGATGTTGAACAAGAAGAGTTTTCGCCCCACCATGCACCCCTACCTCCAACGAAACATGATAGCTTTGATTCTACAGGGAAATTTTCCA